TATTACGTTATGGTTTTACTAAATCTCAGCAATAAGATTGGAAAGTAAAGAGAGAGATGCAGATATTCGTGCGATATTCTGGAATCTAAAGAAAAATGTAGACCAAATGATATGCATCTCTGACTAAGAGGCAAGTTTACAAAATCTTCTAATACATGCTGTTCGAAGAAAAATAGAATCACAAAAGCATCAAATCGTATCTAAAACTAACTATCATAAAAAGGACTTGAATTTTGTTGTAAATTGGGGATTTTATGGAGCAGTTCAATCAAAAGTTTGATAAGTTACCTAAAAATTTATCAGACAGTTCGCTTTTTTTCTGTTACAGTTGTACCCTTCAAAACGAAAAGACTTCAAAAATACGACTGCGATGTGCTGTGGGCTAACCCAACTCCTAACTCCGTTAAATTTTGAAGAACAATGATCTTAAAGTATTCATTACATAAACTATTCATTATATAAATATTCTAAAAATAAAAAGCAAAAAGAAGGCATAAACTAGCCTTATCACCTATTTAAAAAGCTTCAAAAAAATACGAAACATCATAAAAAAAAAAAAAAGCAATTGCAAGTAGTTTAAGAATCAAGAAAGTAATAAAACAACTATGGCAGTTAAAAATAAGTTTAATAAGTTAAAAATGAAACATAAATAAAATGGTATTAAGAACAAAAAATTCTCTAAGTGATAATTAAATAAGAAATGATAATGAATTTAAAAGAAATCACTAATAAGATTTGTGTACTTTAAAATATTCTTTTTAATTAATTTTTTAAAGCAATTAATATTTTCTACACGTTTTATATTACTATTTTTGCTAAGATTTTATTCCAGATATGAGGAGCACATTATATGTAATTTTAAATTGTTCCTGTTTAGTTTGCATAAAGGTTCAATTAAAAAGCCTGTTGTACGCAATGTATATTTAAAGTTAGGTTTAATTTCATAGAGATCGTAAAAAATTGAAGGATATTGTTGGAATTTACTTTTGTACACAGGACATAAAATTTTATATATGTTTATCTCGTATAATGTATAAATATTCATAATTTTAAAAAGTGTTTTTGTATGAACTCTTTTATTTTTAAAATACATTATTCTTAAAGCATGTTTTTGTTTTCTATAGAGTGTTTCTAGTTTGCCTTTAGTAGTACTGCTCCAAGCAATATTTGCGCAATTTAAATAACTTTGTATAAAGCTGAAACGTATTTGTTTTAGGTGATGTTTGTTTAGATGATACCTTGACTGCGTACCGAAGTACTACTCAAGCGCTGAGTTGGCAGTGGCAGGATTTCAAAACCTCATACCTCTGGGTTCTGAGATAAATTCAAATCACTACGCCACGGCTGCTTTTTAATTATTCTATGAAGATATTTTTTTTTCAATTTTTAACTTGAATAGCCATAGAGTTAAAGAACAGAATTTTTGTTGCCGTTTTTATTATTTTTGGCAGTTGATAAATAGTTTTTAGATAAGTTTTTTAAACTTATCTAAAAGTTTTTTTTTTTTTTACTTAACAAACAGCAAGTAATTGATGTCAGTAAAATTTTTTTAAAATTTAAAAAAAATTTTTTTTTAAAAAAATTTTTTAGATGTGCTCAAGGAGCTAAATTTGACTGGGTACAAAATAAATGAAGGGTAATGAAATATTTAAAGATAATGAAATTGTGTCAGTTTTTAACAGTTGTTGAGCCCTCTCAAAAAGCGTTTTCAATGGGGCTTTTTGTCAGCATAATTTATATTAAGGTGGTAGTACCCCAAAAGACAGGCTAAAATTTTTTTTTTTTCAAAACTTCAGTTTTTACAATTTTCATTAATTTATTATATCTTCTCTTAAAATAATAAAAAAAGTTAAAAAAAAAAATAATTAAAACGCCTAAATTATCCTTAATAGATTTGGTACTGGAAAATAAAGTACCCTAGCAACGGCCCTTAGAGATATATTTCTTGCAATATCTTGAGAAATATATGTCCAATTTATGTAGTTTTTGTGTGTGCTTATGACTAAATTGTTCCTTAAGAACTCTTGTTGGTTTTCGATCTAATATCCATAAATTAAAACCTCATATTCGTTTCTGTAAGATATGGATAATTACTCTTTAACAAATGTTTTTTCATTTTTGATAAGTTTCCTTATAAATGCGTTCAAAAAAATAGATATGCTAAAGCAAGAGTAAAAAAAAGAAAACTTCATAAATTAAAAAAATATTGTCTAAATAATTCACATGCTTTACAACAAACTGTTTTGTCTGCACATTCACCAAACAATGTAAGTTAATCGGTATCTGGAAAAAAAAAACTTATCTAGATGAAGAAAACTTTATAATATAGAAAAAGAGTGTAATACAATTATAAACTTATATTTATTTTCAAATTTGTTGAAGGCAATTAAAAGATGCTCTAGAATGTTATTCGTTAATCAATATTGTACACAATATTAATCAAAAAGAGATTCTTTCTCACACTTCTTGTCAAGATTTTACATGGACGATAAATTTTTTAACTTCAAAATGAGTAGAAAATAAAAATGAAGTAATCAAAGGTAAAAAACGAGAGAAATTAACCTATGTACTGTGTTAACTTTTCGAGATATTGGGCAAGGATACATAGCAATTATTACTTTTTGTTATTTTATGAATATGTCTTTTGGTATGACAAAACGTGGTTATCATAACATTAATAATAGACTACCTGTTGCTTATTTTGAAGCAAAACATACGTAATAAAAAACTTTTGAAATTGAAAATTATGATGAATCATCAACTGTCAATGTTGCTGTTAGTTTAGATGGTTCATCATGGTTCCATAGATGGTTCAGCACAGAAGAAACTTCTCAATAAATAGTATAGTCACAGCAATATCTCATGGAAATTGTATTGATGCTGTTGCTAAAACAAAAAGTTGTTACCCCTGTAAGATATGTTTAAGAAGATAGGTATTCCAGCTTACGAGAACTGGAAGATCACACATTAATCATAAGGTAGCTCAGGAAGTATGGAATTTTTTGGCGCTCTACAAATATTCAACCGATCTGTCAAAGAGCTTACATGAAATCGAGTACATGAAATACATTGCTGATGGAGATACCAATTCTTATATGCAAGTTTGTGATGCAAATCCATACAAAGAAGAAATTATTTAGAAATAGTTCTTGGCAGTGATGCGTTGCTCAAGAAAGGTTTACATGGTTAAACTCAAAATGTTAATGAATTGCTAGATAAGATGGTTTGGACTCGCGCACTCAAAAGAGTTCATGTGGAAAGAACAGTTAATGAGATTGCTTTGGCCTATACAATAATTAGCTTCATTAATGGAGTTCAGGGTTTACTACCAGCATTTAAATAATGTAATGTTTTGCCTAGATATTTTACTACTAAAAGTTCTCTAAATGTAGATTATGTACGCATTAAACAGAATGAGATAAAAAGTACAGGTGCCACAAAAAACAGGAGGAAAAAGTTAGGGGCCATTAAAAAAGGCTTTATTGACTAACATAATGAAGCAGAAGATGCTGCATACAACAGTGGTGGTTTTTAGTAGGTTTGATTGTGTAAAAAAACTTAATGTGTTTTTAGTATTTTTTTAAATTGCATTTTTCTTGCGTTTAACTTTTTGTGTATCTTTTAATTTTTTAACAAAGATAACTTTTTAACCGCTCATTGAATTTTTTTTCAAACTTTCAGCAATTATTCTTGAATGTATTTGTAATGTGCTGAACCAAAGAAAATTAACTTTTTTTTATATTAAACTATTAAAATTTGAACTTTAGCAACCTGTACTTTTACTTTTTTCTTTTTATTGATAAAATATAATGATTTTAAAGTTATAAAATATTGTTTATTATATAATTTTTAATTCAGCACATTTTTTGAACATATATAAAACTACTTACAAAATTTGGTTTGTAGAACATGTATGGTTCTCAAGATATTCTTGTTAAAAAAAGGTCAATTTTTTTGCCTAAATTTTGCTAATTTATGCGCATAATTATTGATTATGAGGGTAAAAAAAAATAATTTTGTTATTTTTTGAAATAATTTAATCTAACATTTCAGAAAAACATAAATGTTCCCATATAATATCAAGTTTTAAATTTTTTTCCTCTTAAAGGGTACTACCACCTTAAGCTATTTTTAAAAACTTGGATAATGCGCAGAAACATAAAAATACATAATCAATATCAACTACAAAGCTAACGAACAATTTTAGCTTAAAATTTTACCATAAAAAAGAAACATACCAAATAACTTTACCTAGATCTACAATTAACCCATTTATATTGTAGATATTTACTAACGTCATTTAGACTAGCCCTTCCAGAGAGAAAACAGTTAAAAGCAAAAGATGTACTTACATTAGGGTAGGCCGAGATTTTTCAAAAAATGCATTTTAATACCTCCAGATATATTTAATAATACATGAAAAACAAAATTGAATAAAAAGCATTTTAGAGAACATATAAAAAAAAATTATCGAAAAAAAAACAAACAAATTTTTAAAAAAACTTGTAGAAAAGCACTTATTTGAGTTGAAGAAAAAGAAACATATTTTCTAAGCAATAAACAAGAGTTTTTCTATCAACCAAATATTATTTTTGAGATCTTTATATAAGTTCGCTTCTTTTGAGTACCAGCTTGACCTCCTTTTTTCACTTAAATTTTTTTTACTAGCTTGACCTCCTTTTTTCTCTTAAATTTTTTTTTAAAAAAGATTTGGACCTTGTAAATGTTTATGTCTTGGGGGCAACTCTAAAAACTATTTTAAATCAAAATTTTATTATGTAGAATACAATAAGTGGTATTAAGGCAATTTATGAAAATTGTTGTTTTTCGGCCCACCCAAACTTACTCGGAGAAACAAACAATAAAATTTACACGTTTATAGAATAACTTGAAAACATATTTAAAAAACCCGAAGAAAAACATTTTTTTCACAATATTATCTGAAATTACAAAATTATATATCAAACTAGTAATATAGTTAAAAAAAGACAACAATAACATTAATTTAGAAAGGTAGAGACCTTTACTATCTAAAAATATACATATACATGCTTTTTAGGGAACAGCAGTATTTGTTTGAGCTTATTAACTCATTTGGTGAGCGAAATTGATACCATTGCACCAGCAGATTTGGACAGCGTACTGGTAATTTAGTCACAAATTTTGCGCTGAAAAGGCGCTTTATAATATAGACCTCAGATATTGCGCACTAATCTTAAGAAAAGTCGTGTTGATGATATGCGTCCGGATCGTAATACGCAGTAACAACAACCCTATTAGCAAACTTTCTTCCGGCAAGTGCTTCACTTGCAATTTTTGATTCTTCAGATGTCGCATATTCAATAAAAACCTAAATCAAAATACAATGTTAAAAATAAACAACAGAAATCAAATAACGCCTTAAAAAATAAATTTTGCTTACCTTTCCAACCCCAGAGACAAGAAATTCGTGGTTAGGTCGTGGTATTTGCATACTACGTATACGTCCATACTTCGAACATTCTTCGCGAATATCCTCAAAGATTTCTATAAAAAGAAAATGAATTTTCAATTAAAAAAAAAAACTGTACTAAAATAACTGTTAGATTTTTACAAGTTTGAGTGTGTTAAAATGGACTTTGATTAAAACGTGATTAAAACGCATTACGTTTCAAAACGTATGATCAAAAAATAAATTTCTCAAAATGTGAAACCGTCAACCGTAATCTTTACCCCCTTCATGTATAATAAAACTTTTATAACTTAAGTATAAAAATAACTTTAATAAAAAAGTAAATCAAAACAAAGTAAATACAACCTAAGAATATAAATAGAGCAACATAATTTATATATTTACCATCGTAATCTTCGTCGTCAATTAATTCATCAGCTACTACCATATTCATAAGACATAGAATATTTGTTGCTGTAATTTCTTTGCTCAAGTCAAAACCAGGAATGTTTAGCTGGAAAAATTTTTTTTTTTAATTTAAATTTTACAATAGTTTACTACAATAGCAATCAGTACAATAAAAATTCGGCAGTCGGAGCTGGCAACTAAAATTTTACACGGTCAGGATCAGAAACAAAGTCATTTCACAGAAGAAGAAAAAAACTCAAAAATCAAGTTTAAGAAAATTTATTATCTTTATTGTCCTTTGTCTAAACTTGTCAACTATGTTAAATAAATTAAATGTAATATAAAATAATAAATTTGATACAATTACATAATTGAAAATGTATTAACATTTAAAAGAGTGTTTTTACCAGTAATCTAATTATATGATTTTACGACAGAAAATATTAATAATTTATCAACTTGTATGGAAGCACTACATTAAACAATCACACAAATTTTTTATTTGCATAATACTTTAAGAATGGTTATGAAGTGCTTCACTCAAACTGCATAAATTAAAAATATTTTAAGAATTTGTTTAAATGTGCTAAGTGGAAAATATCTTTGAGTTAGTATTGCAACAAAATCAGTAGCACATTTCATGTTTGCAGATAACAGCTTTTTTATAACAAAAATTGACATTTTCTGATATAAAAAAATAAGAATGGCCATTATTTTTACTCCCTTTAATTTTACTTTTTAGCTTTGAACTATTTCATTTCAATTTTAGTCTTTGATGTAAAGGTGTAAAAATAATTTTGCGCCCAAGTATTATTACTGTCAAGTTACATAATACAGTAAAAACGAAAAAATTTTGAGCCACATTTTTAGTTAAAGTAATATAAAGTAGGTTGAGTGCACAGTAGGGTGGGGTGCAAATTACTTTTATCAAAATTTTCTACTATTACACCCCTAGGTTTCTTCTATATAATAAAATCACACTAGATTAAAAAAAAAACTTTAAGAAAAAAAATTTTGTAGGTTCCTCTTGAATATTTAATGTTTCCCTAATAATTATCTGAAAAAAAACTTACTATGACAACCCGATAGTTAAAAGAAGCAAAATTTTACAAAAATTTCAAACAGGGTTGCCACTATAATTTTTCCACTGAGTTTTCCCTGAGTAAAGAACGTTTTTCCGTGAGTTGAACTCTTTAAGTTCCCTGAGTTTTCCCTGACATTTCTATATTCCTTCCTGTTCAACATCTTGCAAACTTTTTATTATATGTATTAGCAAAATATATTTAAAAAAAAAAAATGTACAAAATTTCAAAAAAAAATTAAAAAAATTTTCCCTGAATTTTAGAAAATTTTTTAAAAATCCCTGAGTTTTCCAGGTTTTCCCTGAAATTCATGCTATTTCCAGGTATTCCAGGTTTAGTGACAACCCTGTCAAAAATATAAATAATTTGAGATTTTTTTTAGCATAAAAACATTAAAAAAAAGAAAAGTTAAATTATTCAACAGTTTTTTCAAATAAATTTTTTTTTAAACATTTTTTTATGAAAAATGATAATTTATAAGTTTTAAAATTAACTAATTTTAAAACTTATAAATTTTCGCTTCTATGGTGTTTATTACTCAAATTAATAAAGTATTATAAATAATATATAAATATTGTATACATTATCACATGAATATAAAATGTAACCTTTTTTTTTTCTTGAATAGTTTTCATATAATTAGTATATACAAAGTTTGTTTAGTGTATACAAAGTTTGTTTAGTGTATACAAAGTGTCATATTATAAATCTGATAAAGTTGTTTAAATGTGTTTAATTTCTATTTGAATTATCTGTATACCTGTGCAGCTATAGTTACATTATTACAATTATTTATAGTTACATTCCTTAGTTATAAATACCTGGGCATTCATTGTTACATTATTATAAATATTTATAGTTACTGTCATTACCCAGCTAGCACACATACGTTGTTAAAACATTAGAATAATGTCGCGAACAATGTTAATGATATAAAAATAATGCCAACGTTGTTTTTATATCATTATGGTTACAAATGCGACGTCGCCAACAAATAAAAACTGATATCGATAAAACGTTTATTTAAAGTCGGAAAATGGTTATATTTTTTACCTTGATTCAACTTTTTTACTTTATACATTAACCCAACATTGTATTTTAAGTTAGAACAACGTTGTATTTACGTTGATTCAAAGTTGAACTTTAATTGGCAAAAGTTGTATTCAATATTATTTGGAATTAAATTTTCACTGAATACTATTTTCTTTATATATATATATATATATATATATATATATATATATATATATATATATATATATATATATATATATATATATATATATATATATATATATATATTTATATATATATATTTATATACATATATTTATATACACATATATATATATATATATATATATATATATATATATATATATATATATATATATATATATATATATATATATATATATATATATATATATTTATATATATATATTTATATACATATATTTATATACACACATATATATATATATATATATATATATATATATATATATATATATATATATATTTTACCAATAAACAAGAGACACCTGAAGCTGAAACTAGACTTACACAGGGCCCTAGAAGGCGGCTTTATTAGGGAGCTGAAACTCCGTGTATGGCCCACTTAAGGGTTAATTAGTTGCCACTCAGCCGAAACTGAGCAGCGCCCACTTAAGGGTTTATCTCCATTTTATGTCCGGAGTGGTTTCGATCTTGTGCTGTTTCTGCTTTCTAACAACACCTTACCAATTGAGAGATGGTCCAGAACCAAAATAAGAACAGATACTACACTTGATCTTAGCCATTAGGCCGAGAAGCGATATATATATATATATATATATATATATATATATATATATATATATATATATATATATATATATATATATATATATATATATATATATATGTATATATATATATGTACAGCCAACGTAAATATATGTATACATTTAAATATATAAGGAAGACAAGGCTTGATCATCGGAACAAAAATCATGTTTGTGTTGATTGTGGTTTGATATTTTAATAATCACGGAAGATTTTATTTGAGTTTTACAATTTCGCAATAGCAATGTTTGGTCGCATACATTGATTCAACATTGGGTTTAGATCATAAAAACAATCAACTTTTTGCGATGTTTTTACATACAATGGATCAACGTTGATTTATATACATTGAATCAATTTCGAGATATATATATGGAATCAATGTTGGGTCTAAATCGTAAAAACAATCAAATTTTTTCGATGTTTTTACATACATTGAAAAAACGTTGATTTATATACATTGAATCATCGTCGAAATATATACATTGGATCAACATTGGGTTTAGATTGTAAAAACAAACAACTTTTTGCGATATTTTTACATACATTGGACAAATGAAAATTTGCATGATGTTTTTTGTTCCATCGGTAATAATTTTATCATTAACCAAATGACATTGATCCAATCGCGATGGTTTTACAAAAGTTGGCCTATGTATGTGTGCTACCTGGGTAGTTATAAATACCTGAGCATTCATAGTTACATTATAATAAGTATTTATATTTACTGTCATTAGTTATAAATACCTGGGCAGTCATAGTTTTAGAACCAACACTAGCTCTTTGTACAACCAATTTTTTATCTCCTAATTGCATTCCATTCATACCAGCAATAGCCTAATAACAAAAAATAATATATAAATACATACTACAGAATTACCAAGTTGTTTAGGGATGCTTGTTGAATAATGTTTTATAAATTTATTAAGAAAAACGAATTTGCTATGTATATCGTAGCGCTTTTTAAACCCTTTGTTAATTGATTGAATAGGGTAGCCTCATATAACTAAAATTTGTGCTAGTTGCTGCAGCTTTTTTATTAGGTTGTAATTGTTAGATATAATTTTATTGTATCTTAGAGCTTGGCTATATATTATGTTGCTTGTTGAACATGTTGTAATGTAAGAGTGTTGTTGTATCAGTTGGCTTTTTGTGCATTGTTGATTCTAACTGTCCATTTAGCTTTTTAATAATCGTTAAAATGAAAGTAATAAAATTGGTATAATTAATAAAAAAAAATTTAATCGCGGGGTGGCATTCATAAATTTGAAAACTTGCATTAGTTCCTCTGAGAAATAAAAAATACAATTTAAATTCATCTACAAATCATTTATAAAAAAGAAATCCACTATGAAAACTGGTCAATTATTTTCCCATAAATAAAATAGCATGGGGTGGGATCATACATGTTCCCATGGTTGTTCCTGTTAATTTTAAAAAATGATCAGTCGAAAATTAAAAGTTGCTGTGGGTTAAGATGGTTTCTAATATAATATCAATAAAAGCAACGGGTGGGCATTTTATGGATCCGTTATATGGCAGTGCTCTCTTTAAACAAAATTTCATGGCATCAATACCTTTACCTTGATTGTTAATATAAGTTGCTTCATAGCATAAACATTACTTATATGTAAACAAGCATGCTGTAATATGCTGTTCACTAACACACAGTAAACAAAATGACTAACATTACAATAAATTACATTAATTTTTTCAATTCACAAAACATTTTGTATACTTCTATGCAAATGATCTTCTTTATGAACACGCATATTTTTTGAAACAGTTTATTTTTGATTAACACTTTGTTAAAACATCACACATAAATTAAATTATGCCATTTATTTTATTAATAAAATAAAAATCAATGCAACATAAAAAAAATCTGACTTAAAGTCAGATATTTAAAATGTTTTTAGCCAGTTTTATCTGACTAAAAAATATTTTGAAAAGAGAATGAAAAAAATGTTAATTTAAAAACCAAACAAAGCTATTTAAAATACAACAATAAAATTAATAATAAATACTATAATTTATTTTTCTTATTGTAGTTACCAATAACTTATTACCACATCAGTAATCCCAATATCCACATATTCACAGAATGCATAACCTTTAGATAGACCTGTAGCTGAATCTTTGACTAAATTAAATGATCGCAAATCTCCAAATGTTGACAGCAACTCTTTTACCTAAAAAATAAAAACCATATAACCAACGTTTTTGGTACAAAATAAAAAGTCAATTGAAAAACTTATTTTAACATAAAGTTATCATTAATATTGTTTTGATACTTTTAATTTTGTTCATATAAAAGGTTGGCTACAAGAAAGTTAAGAAAACATTTTTCTTTGCTACTAATCAGCTAAATAATTAGACTGTCAATGTTTCAAATCATATTGATGTTCAAATCATATCGAAATATGAGCCTAATAGTAAAAATGTTCATGACATAATAAAAGAAAGCACTCATTATTGTTAAATTTTTAACATAAATAAGTAACCATCTAAATGTCAAGTTATATAAGACAAAATACAGAAAGTTTTAGCTTCTATTTTAACTTTAAAATAAAAAAATTTCAAAATATAAAAAAATTTCCACTAATATATTCTATATAGTAAAATGAAAAAATTATTAGGTTTAGTAGAATAAAAAGAAACAGGTTTTTAAGAAAAATTATTTTTATTTTGGGTTTAAAAAATTTTATTTGAACAGAAACTTTATCATTCCTATTTACTGATCAATAGTAGCCAAAAAAAAGTTCAAAGTTTGAGTTCTTGTAACCATCCTAATTTTGTTTTAATTAAAATAATCTGTTTATCAGAATAGCTACTTCATGAGAATTTGAAGTAGTTTTAATTTAGCTGTAGGCAAAGTTTATTAAACATTTCTGATAAACAGATTGTATTATATGTATGTATATGTGTATATATATATATATATATATATATATATATATATATATATATATATATATATATATATATATATATATATATATATATATATATACATATACACATATATTAAAAAATATTTGCTCAGCATTCCAAATCCTCAATTTACCTTTTTAAAAATATATTAAAATATACATTTTTAATTATATAATATTATAAAAAAAAAATTATCAGAACATTTTAAGTAGACAAAAATGTCTGGAAATTAAATATTTGAGGAAATTAATCATACTATCGCTTAATTTCATTTTATATTGCGAAATGAAATTCATGCTCTTAGGATTTTACAACTTTACCTTTTTTTTGTGTGCAAGTGCAAAAACATTTGACTTGAGGAGGTGAAAACTTTTCGGCCTTGAGGAGGTGAATAACAAAAAAAAAAAAATTTTTTTTTTTTTTGTTATTCACCTCCTCAAGGCCAAAAAGGCCACTACAGACGAGGAGGCTACTTAATAGTGGTTATAACCCTCTCTCAACTCTATAACTCCGAAACACGAACCTTACCAAACAAGGCCGCTGCGCGGAGAAACAAGTTGAGCGCGGTATTACCAGGGACGTGGTGGGGATCGAACTCCGAACCTCTCGCTTATGAAGCGAGTGTTTTACCACTACACCACTACCGCATTTTATTATTATATTAAATTAGTAGCAGTTATCATCAATGTATGAAACAGTTCTATTACATAAAATAAAGCATTAAATTGGAAAATTACCAATAAAAAAATACTAAATAAAAGTTACTTTAATAATAATTAATAAGTTAAACACTTTACTAGAATGTTTAATGTTATTAAGGTATTTCTAATAGGCTAAGGTTGTCTAATGTTATTACGTTAGGTTCAGTGTATCACACTGAACTTATTAATCTCTAATTGTTTCAGGGCAATTAAAGCAAAAAATCATTACTTAATTTAATTTACTTGCTGTTATAATATCTAATAAAAAGTGTTGTTTTCTATTAGCATTAAAATAACTATGACTAAAATTATTTATTGTAACACTTTAATAGCAAATAAAAACCAGGCTGCATAACTAAAAAATAGACTTTAAAAAAATTTGTTTGTATGTCTTTTTGCATGCATTTCAACTTTTTGCTAAAAGCAAAAAGTTAAGTAAAAAGCAAAAACAAATACAATTAAAATAGTAAATAAATTACTTTTTTTGTTGAGCAAAATATTTTGGACAGAAACTTCTTATTTTCACAAAATTTTAGTTGAGACTCATTTCGCATTTTCTTTGAAGTTTTATTTTTTGCATACGTAGACAGTAAATAATTGTTAGTGTTTTGTAAATTTTAGTGTATTATGTAAAATCTTTTTGTGTTTATTAGTTACAATATACTGATATCAAAATATTGATAATAAAATATAGTTTTAAATTAAGTATAATTTTGCAAGCCAGAGTTTTGTGAGTTTTCACAATCATCAGGCAAGTAGCAGAAAATTAATTTGGCTACAATTACAAAACGAAAATTAACTTTTCTACAATTATTGCTTTAAAAAAATAATGGTTTTTATTTAGGCTCAAAGCAAAAATTTGTTTAGTAGCTAGTAAATTGGGGTTGGTTAACTTATTTAAATTGATTTGTAAAGAAATAAAATTAATGAAGGTAACTTAAATTTAGAGTTTATATATGTTTATTAAAAAAATTTAAAATTATAAGATAAAATAAGTTAATGTGTTTATATAACTGAGTAAATACTTTTCAAATTCACAGATAAAAAATTTTATTTATGAATATTATTAGTTAATTAGCTTTGCAGCTAGCTATAAAACTTTTGCATCACACACATACTTATTATATATATATATATATATATATATATATATATATATATATATATATATATATATATATATATATATATATATATATATATATATATATATATATATATTTATATATATATATATATATATATATATATATATATATATATATATATATATATATATATATATATTTATATATATATATATATATATATATATATATATATATATATATATATATATATATATATATATATATATATATATATATATATATATATATATATATGGGCAATTCCACGGCAGAAAATGAAAAAATAGTCAAATTTCGTTCTCTTTTTCGTCAACTTTTAGCAAATGAATATTGATGTAGACACATAAAAGTTTATTTAAAATATACCTTTAAGTCATTTTTATGCCTCTGAAAGTTATGGTTTTTCTCATTGTCGCATGATAAAAAAAATATCATCGTAAAATGTTATTTTAACCATGAATTTATTTGCATAATCAGAATTAATTTTGCGTGAAAATGGAGCTAACATGTTTAAATTGTAGTTGTTCAGATTTCATACTTTATAAAATATATACATTTCATCAAAATAACAAAAGAAATTTTCCAATTTTCATGTAACGTAAGTTAACAAAAACATGATAAAGTTTTGTTTTTTCTAAAATTTCGTTAAAAACTTAAGTTTTTTAATTATATATGCTAAAGAATGTTAAATGTTACATTTTTACATTTAGAGTTTTGAATAGTTTAAGTACATTTTTATTTTAAATTTGTGTAATGTAAGTTAAAACTACATGCATTTACTAAAGTTCTGGCACTTTTTTGTTAAGTTTTTGTTTACAAAACAAACTATGTCATTAAGTAATTCTTATTTCAGTCGTTGGCATGACAAGGTTCTGACTGGAACTTTTTATATTAGGAGAATTTAAAAGAAAAAAATGTTATTTTTTTTTTTTAATGTTAATTAATATTATTTATATTATTGCTTTTATTTATATTTTTATTTTAGTTGACATAAATACACATTAACAAGTAAAAAAAAGAATTATAAATATTTGTATTTAGACATTAAAAAAAAAAAAGATTAGCTACATCCTAATATAAAAAAAATCAGTTAGATTTTTTTATTTATTTTTGCCTTGTTTTCCGTGTAACTTAAGCTATGTGGCATTTTCAGTAATAAGCCTCTCTTTTGACTAGGCTCATAACTTTTTAGCTTATTTTATTCTTTAGACTAACAACTAACAATTCTATTAGCAGCTAGTGAGTATAATGAAAAGATTACTTATTAAATACACACACACACGTATATTTATTCCTATTTAAATACCATTCTTATGATTTAGGTAGTTAGAATTGGAATTCTGGAATGCTGAACAAAAGTTAAATATAATTTTATAAAATATTTTTCACGGAACTATACTCACTACCAGTCTTACAATTCTTAATTAAACTGTAAATAAACTTGCCTTCCTCCATGAGAACATCACAATAAGACTGCCGAGAACAAGGCATAAAAATAAAATCAAAAATACATTAAGGTTTGCTAACCTAAAGTTTTTTTCCTTTTAAATTCATTTATACTGAAAAATTGAGAGAAATAAGTGAAACAAACAAACAAAAAAAGTTGTTAAGTATATATAACTTTTTAAAACTTTAAAAAGAATTTTCAAGACTACATATTAAAAAGAATTTACTAAAACTGAAAAAAAAAAAAGATTAAATAATACATGACCAATAAGGAAGTCTTGAGAACAATTGTAATAAACCTGCAGCTCAAAAATAAACTACACTAACTTAAGTATACTCAATAAAAACCAACATGTTTAAAATAATTTTTTTAATTAAAAATAAAAAAGTTTAAATGGTGGAAATAACAAAGTAAAACTTAATAATAATAAAAAAAATTCAAATCAAAATAATAAACTAGCATAAAATAAATTCATGTTAATATATATATTACCTTTTATTACTATTTTATCAAATAAAAAAGTAAAGGAAGATTTTTCTAATATTCAGCCAGTAACTGAATTGAAGCAACCACTTAATCTACTAAAAACACTTCTGCAAAAACCCAAATAACCAATAAAGAAGACCGGTTATTGAAATATAAAGGTAATTGTTGAAAAACATGTAAATTCTATTTTCAATTTATAACATAAAATGGTATTATATGGAACATAAAAAGTAATAGTAAAAAAGCCTTGTAATAGTAAGAATGAAATATACTATTTAAAATGCTTATTACATGACAAGAAAATTATTGCTAAAAAAAAAGCTACACAAGAAAAACAAACAATTCATGTCTTTGCACAAATGAGCATCAAGTTGTAGAAATGGATAATTAACAGGTAATTTTGATAACCATGTATACAATTTCAACGTGCAAATAATTTCATTACAGAACCTTTTCCTAGATTTTTGTATTTCAGGAGCTCAAAATGAAAAATATTTAACACCATTTGAAAAACATCTGCACGATCAAAAACTTTTAATCAACATTTCCTGCTAAAATCATAACTAATAGATTAGCATAGTAGCTAACAGCTACAATAAATAATTATCATTTACGGTTTTAAAAAACTATATTTTCTTACCATATATTAATATATATATATATATATATATATATATATATATATATATATATATATATATATATATATATATATATATATATATATATATATATATATATATATATATATATATATAAGATATCTACTGGTATCCCCTAATGTGTACTATATGACAAAATAATACTGGATTTTTAGGGGTTGCATAAGACTTATGAATACATAATGGGTCCTCATTATTATAAAAAAAGTATATTATGTTGGGTCTCAAATAAAGCAAAACTATGTAAAATTTCAAAATTTATCATCGAAAAATTGTTATTTTAAATTTTACTGCGCAGAAAATGACATTTTTAAACTAAAAATAATGAGTGCATTTTTTCAAGATTTTTTGATTACAATTTTTTTCTCTTAATCATTATTTTTTAAATTTCAAAGTTTAGTTTAATGAAGATTAATAATAAAATTTGTTATGTTCTCTTTAAATGAAGATTAACAAAGTTTGTTATGTTCTCTTTAAATAAAGATGTTCTCATTAAATAGTAATACCATTACTTATAGTATTACTTTAATTGCTTATTTTAAGGGATCAATATAAAACTCCATGTTCTTCAATTAGAAATGGCTAACATTTCCAACCACCCTTGTAGTCTTTTATAGCAATTTTTTTGCTCGTAGCTAATTAATTTTATTATTTTTTCAATAGAAAGATGGTAATATATCATTTTAGCACATCCTACATTGCCGACGTATGCACAGCTTGCAATGTTGACTTTATATGTGGTGGAAAACTCTGTTTTTAACTTTTTTTTAGGATTTTAGTTTTAATAACTGGTGAATTTCAAATTTTACATTTTTAAGATACAACTCAGGATATGATTCTATTTTTATAATTTGCCTAAAAAACCAAATAACAAAATCTTGACGATGTACTAACTTCATCACTTTTAAATAAACTAAATAACAAAACCTGGAGGATGTACTAACTTCATCACTTTTAAATAAACCAAATAACAATATCTGGAGGATGTACTAATCACTTTTAGAGATAATCGACACCTTAAAACTTTATTTTAAAAATTATCTTTGGTTTGATTAAGTATACAGCATATATACTATAATATACATACATAATAATCATGTTTATTTACTGTATATTGAAGATATAGAGTATATATACTATACATAATGATTATGTTTATTTACTGTATATAGAAGATATACATAATATACAAACTATACCTAATGATCATATTTATTTACTGCAAGTAGAAGGAAAAAAAAGTATGATTAATTTTAATTATTTTAATTAGTTTTGAACTAATTTTACCTTAGGGAAAGAATATCTATATCATTACCTTTTATTACTATTTTACCAAATTATTTTATTATTTTTTAATTATATTTATATAATTTAAATATTTCATCTTAAGATTAATTTTTTCAAAATGTAAATATATAGATAATTATTATAAATAAAAAGAATTTATAAAAATATAAACAAATTAAGAAAAATAAAAAATAAAATCTCAAATTAAAGTAGATAAAAAAATAAATAAATCAGATTTAAAATAAGAAATACCTGGTCTTCATTTAAGTAGTTTGGTAGACCACCAACAAATACTTTATTTATAGTATCAGATACAACAGTCGAAACAACTCCTGGTATATGAGTAGCTTGCATTTCTAAATAAAATAATAATTTTTCTAAATAAAATAATAATTTTTCAAAATTGTACTTTAAATTAACTAGTGTATGTATATATGTATATATGTATATATATATATATATATATATATATATATATATATATATATATATATATATATATATATATATATATATATATATTATATATATATATATATATATATATATATATATATATATATTTATATATATATATATTTATATTTATATATATATTTATATATATATATATATATATATATTTATATATATATATATATATATATATATATATATATATATATATATATATATATATATAATATATATACATATACTAGGTTGGTTGAAAAGTTCGCGGAGCGGAAATGAAAAAACAATTTTATGATTCAAAAAATGACTTTATTCTTCAGTATATTCTCCCTTAAGAGCAATACACTTTTTCCAACGATTCTCCAATTCATGTATCCCATCTCTGAAGTGCGATTCCGGAAGGCCTTCAAAATACCCATTTACGGCTGCAATGACTTCTTCATGTGATGAGAAACGCTTTCCACGTAGAAATTTTTTGAGATGTGGAAAGAGGTGGAAGTCGGACGGAGCCAGATCTGGTGAATAGGGTGGATGTTCCAAGCGTTCGTACTTTAATTCGACCAATTTCGCCTTTGCAACATCGCTGATATGAGCAGGTGCGTTGTCCTGGTGATAAATGATTTTTTTATGCAGCAAACCAGGTCTTTTCTCACGAATTTTTTTATCCAACTGGTCCAAAAGATTTTTATAATATTCACCTGTTATCGTTTTACCGGTTTGAAGGTAATCTATTAATAAAATTCCTTTCGCATCCCAAAAAACTGATGCCATAACCTTCTTTGACAATTTTGACGCCTTCACTTGCTTCGGAGCTGAACAACCGGGTTCTGTCCACTCGGCAGTTTGTTGTCGCAGCTTCGGATCATAGTGGTAAACCCAAGTCTCATCCATGGTTACGAATCGACGCACAAAATCTGTTTTATTCTTTTGAAAACGGGCCAAATGTTCTTGAGAAAGTTTTACTCGAGTGCGTTTCTGATCCAGAGTTAGCGAATGCGGCACCCATCTTGCCAACAGCTTTCTCAGACGTAATTCATCGTGCAAGATGTGTAATACCCGTTCATCTGAGATGCCCACAGCCTCAGCAATTTCACGTTTGGTCAATCGTCTATCATCCATAACCATGTCATGCACAGCATTAATCGTTTCTTCAGTAGTAGCACTTTTTGGACTCATCTTCAAGGCTTGAACGCCCACGTTGAAACTCCGCAGCCCATTTGCATACTGTTGTTTTTGAAGGAGCATCATCACCCAACACATTTACCATTTCATTATGAATTTCCATGGGCTTTAAACCTTTTTTCACAAAGAATTTTATTACAGCACGATGTTCAATATTTTCCATTTTAAAAAATACTATGACACGTCTAATTTCAATAGCTTGTAAACAAAGACTGAAATGACATATCGACTTGAAATTTTTTATGCGTTCATACGAAGAATGAATACGTTTAATACAGTTATAAATTTGTTTCTACTACTGCAACATAGGTGCCGCTCCGCGAACTTTTCAACCAACCTAGTACACAAGTTAATACCCTCAATCCAGGTTATATTTAAAAAATTTGTAAAGTTGTTTGAGTAAAAAATCCGGAATATATTTTCATTTATACTCTTAATTTTGCTTTTAGCTGAGTTGTTTTCAATTTTTTTTAAACTTTTCCTAATTTTTGTATGAGTAATGAGTGAAAAGGCTTAAAAAACAAATATATTACAAAAATATATACCTAAACTTGTATGTATGAAAAACATTTTTAGTATCCGGAAAAACTAAAAGTTGAAAAAAATATCCGGTATTCCGGAAATATCTAGAAATAGATAATCCCTTACATATATATGTTTAAAAAATTTGAACTTGTAAGTACTTTTTAAAATAATTTTTTACATCTGTTTTAGTTAATAAAAACAATAGAAATTAATAAAAACAACAGAAGTAAAAATGCATGTTGAAAACCATGCTTATATTTGCCGTATGCTGTACTACCAATGGGGCTTAGATATGGCAATTATGAAGGTCAAGCAAACATCTCAATGAAATTAGTACTGAGAATAAAATATATATTAGTACTAAAAAGCTATATATAGTGTATGCTTGCAACCGTTATCCTGTTGGAAAAAAAAGCCATATATTATTTTAAGCAACACTGTTATTAAGATTTTTAATCAAAACATTGATGTAACTAACACCATTTATTTTAGAATTTTAGAATCTTGCTTAAATGTAGTTCTGTTTTTTTGGTCCGGATCATTTTCTTGTCCCAAATAGAACTTAGGAAAAGAAAATAGTTTGTCATATAGTTGATTAAGAAGTATTCAAAAAAGATATTGATATTCTAGATAATATTATAATATAGATAATATATAAGATATTGAAGATATATAAAGATATTGACACTTCTTCCATATTTTTCTCATTTTTTAGTTAGAAAATATATGCATGTCAATAAAACAGAAGTATTTCTTAGAAAGAAATAATAAAAATAAAATAATAAAAAAACCCTGCAAAACATAGATTAAGCAAAACATAGAAGTTTATTGTGTATATTTTCTTTATCCAGTTCCCCAGGACCAATAATTCCAAGATGGAATTATTGGTCTTTTATTATATTATTTTTTATAATTATATAATTTTAGGATGGTTGCTTTTAGAATTATATAATTTTAGGATAGTTGCTTACCTCTAAACTTTACTTGTTCCAGACAAAGATTTTAATCTTTGTTTTAATTGCAGGAGAAATCTTTTGAGTTTTAGATACTTTACGAAACTGCGAGATTTTGTCTCAATTTTTTACTTTGTACCCCCAGAAGTTATAAATACCATAAATAGTTTTAACTAATGTATACCTATTGGAGAAGAAAAATCAGAACTGGGGAACAACTTACGTTGGTGGTCACTCTAGTCCACAGTGAAGTACCATGTTAAATTATGAATGTTTTGCTCATTTACATGTAAATATTATAAACTACTAAATATTGTACAAAATAAAATGTATCTGGTATTTTATTTGCCTTTGCATGTGCAGCATTCTATTGATCAATAATAATAAAAAATATGCTTTCTATAAGAAACAAAGAAGATATTTTATTAGCGTACCAGATATCCCTGGAATGGGTTGGTAATCTTTTGGTCTTCGAATTTTCAATGCTTGACCCTTTAAAAAAAAAAAGTTCAAATTGAAACACTTATTGAAACAAACAAAAAAAAAATTAAAGTAAGTAAAAAACTATAAATAATGTGAAAACATGTAAATAATAGTTTATTTGCTATACATAATATGAAAACATTACGTAAATTAATAGTTTTTTTACTGAAGCTTATTTAATAGTTTGTTGAAATAAGCATAAAGTTCTAAAGAATAAAAAATATAGAAATGTAAATACCTGCATTTTTAGGTGTAAATATAAAGCTATTTCAATTAGAACTATTAAAATTATTAAAATTATCTACTGAAACTCAATACTATAGTAATAAAAATAGCTATTGGTAATAACAATGACCACTAAATAACTGCTAGCAGTATTCATAGCCCTATTTCAAATATTTTAGAATTATAAAATTTGAAAAAAATATATTACCTGTAACATTATTCCATCAAAAGCCATAGCAAGTGTTGTTTCTTCAACTGAGCGAAACTAAAAAAGATTTTAACTTGAAATCTAACAGTTAAAATAACAAAACAAAAAAAACAAAAAAAAAGTGAGAAAAACAACAAAAACTTAGCTTAATTAAAATAAAAATGACAATTGTATTAACACAATGCTAAATTTCACACTATGCAAAATAATTTCATTATTATTAATAATTATTGAAGAAAATTTGAAATAAGACAGACACAAAAGAAAATAAAGTCTTAATTCTGAATAGTATATTATAAACATTACAGACATTTTGATATAAAAATCAAATAACTAACTTATTATAACAAATTTTGAAAAAATAAAAAAATTTAAATATGTGCAACAACAAGATGAATCTAACAATAACTTCATTTTAGTTTAAAATTTTACAAAATTTAATATAAAAAAACTTTAATTTAAAATTTAATTTAATTTAATTAAAGTTTAAATTAATTTAAATTAATTAAAACTTAATTTAATTTAAAAATTTAATTTAAAAAAACTTTTTTTTAACTGGAATTACAAATTGTGAATGTAATTCTGAATGCATACACAATAGAAAAAACAATAAATACACTAAATTAATTAATGAATTTGTTATTACTATTTAAATGGTATTTTTTTTACTTATGCTTTGGTAAAAAATATTCTATTTGTATTTATTTCATGTTTTAATTGAATCCATAGTAGAATGATAATCAATCACACAAACAAAGCAAGACCAATTAGCACACTGTTTGCATGTAACCCATTGAGCATCTGTGCTACTAACCCAATCAACACCACAAGAATAACATGAACAGGCTCTTTAATCAGATCAATATTTTCTGAGTCTTGTTTCTGAGTTGTCTGAGCCTTGAATCTTTGAGGTTTTTTTGTTTGTTTTAGTTTACTGACTTGCATTCAAAAGTTTTTTTGTTTCTTTTTTTTTTTTATGCATTTTGTTTGTTCTCTAAATAGTTTTTTTGGCAGCTTGTTTGTCTTTATTATTACAATTTTTATATTTTAATTATATTATTTAATATAGTTTTAGTTTGTATTATTTATCAGACCACTGGCTGGTTGTTTAACTCTTTTATCTTTATCTTTTCTATTAGTTAAAGGTGTCAATTGATCTTCAAGCGACATTAAAATGATTGGTTGATATCTTATATCCCTTTTTTAACTATTTCATTTATCACATTTACACTTCTCTATTTATCATAAGTAACACTTCCCGATTTGACATTCTACTAAATGGTGCTTTAGGAGTTTTAGGTGTATTAGTTTCAGGCTAAAATAAACAATGTTCTCTTATTCAACAGCTTCAAAAACTTTGCAAACTGCGATCAATTTTTTAATGTGGAAATAAACCACTAGTGTAAAAGCCACTACAGCGTTTTCAGATTTAAAATAATTTTTATTGATAAATTTCTTAAACATAGCAATAAATTGTCTGTTTGATAATAATTAAAATTTGAATCTAGTTAAAAAATAGTCTGCTGTTTGCCTTCATCCGCCTTAAGCTGTTTAGACTTTATCCAACCTGATTCGCTATTACTATAATAAAAGTTTTATCGCCGCATATGCACCAGCTTTTCATAATATGTTTTCTTTTGTAAATTACTTGATGTGCAAAATAATTATACATATAATGGCATCACAACAAATCAAAATAGAAGTCATTTGCTTGTTGTTTGTTAATTACTATTTTTAAAATTTATGCTTTCTGCATGAAGTTGAAACTGTAACTTTGCTGAGGTTGAAACTTTGCTGAAAATTGTGTAATCCAGACTTATCACACTTAAAAATATGAAAAGGCTTTCATATTTTTAATTTTATCATAATTTAATTTGAAATATTAATAAGTTTTTTGAAATGTCCAGATCAATTCCAAAAACTTATCACACTTAAGAATATGAAAAAAAAAAAAAATTTAAGAGCACTGGTCAATCCAGTCATCAAATAGGCATATTCAACTATTTCTTTTTCTAATTTCTAAAAATCATTTATTTTAATGTCAGGCCATTAAATTGATAAAAATTTAACAACTTCGTCATAGTAAAAACATAATTTGAGTTAATGTAGTCTTGACAATTGTCATTCTTTTAAGAACTTTGGTAATAAATAATAAGTGAATAATTAGAACGCACTAAAAAATATTGCATTAACTTCACTTCCAAAAGTTTTTATTTAAAACTTTCACTTTAAAAGTTTTAAATAAAAAATGAAATAAGATTTCTTTTTATAAGTTCTGACATTTTTCTCAAATATTTCTTATTTAACAACTTCGTTAATGGAAATTCTGAAAGCATTTTTATCTTTAATTATAAATTAAATAATAAAAATATTTTATTATTTAATTTAAAATTAAAATTTATAATTTTAATTTTAAATAATAAAAAATTTAAAACTTCAAGTAACTTATACTTGAATTAAATTTGAATTACTTGAATAATTAAAAGTTTACTAATTAAATAAACTAATCTAAAACAATATGAAAAATATAGTAGATATTTAAAACATTTTTGATGCATTAAACCAAATTATTTATAAATAATCGAGTTTCTATTTTTTACCATATTTATGCTCAATTAAATACAATTCAATTAAAATCTCAATTAAAAATATTTTTATAAAATGTCATCTTATCTCAAAAAAATATATATCTTTATTTTTAAAAACTTTATTATGTCATTCTACTTCCAAAAAAATTATATAAATTTAATTATTACCTCCAAAAATGCAAAATTTTTTTCCAGGTTAATTTGACAAGCTAAAACTGGATTTCCTGGCTGTCGTGCTATGTCAGATTCTCTCATTTTAGCATTGAAAAAGTCAACCATTAAATCCTATAATAAAAACATTTGTTTTTAAACTTGTAAATTTTTTCTTATTACAAAAAATAACAAAATCATTAACTAAACTAAAAGCAGGAACTTATTTCTTGTTGCAAAATAATATCTCCAAGAGGCTAATGTTTAAAAAACCTACCTCTGTAATACCAAAAGGTAAGTTTCCACAATACAATCGCCTGGCTTGCATAGTCATTTGTGCTCCTTGTGGTAAGGCTGTGGCAGGGATAACACCACCTGAAAGTGGTGTTGGCATTTCAACCTGCCCAGAGGCTAGGACGCAAAAAGGTTTTACTTTAATTCCAATTAAAATTATTTGCATATTTGCAATAAATTCCTTGCCTCGCCTCCAGAAGATTATAGTTTTAAAACATTACAAACCTCAGATATTCCAAATGGTATATTTCCAAGATAAATTCGACGTGCTTGCCAAGTTGTCTGCGCCCCTTGTGGCAAGGAGACAGCTGGCACAGCACTTCCACAAACTTGATTAGCTACTTCAACTTTACCTGCAGCTAAATAAGAACAATGCTTATTGTTTTTTTGTTTTTGTTTTGCTTGACTTATTAGCAATTAAGTAACTACTGTTACTAAAACTATAATCCTGCTGGAGACAAGACTTCTTCACAAAAACATATAAATATACAAAATAACAACCAAAGATAAATATTAAAAAAAAATAACAATTCAATAAATTATATTGATTAAATATGTGAAAAAATATTAAAACCACCACCAACAAACAAACAAAAACAAAATTAAACAGCTTTTTTATTAACTTTATTTCATAAAAAGATATCAGGTTTCAATAAAGTTTAAAAAACAGTCAACAGAAAGATCGGCATAAACATGCACTTAGATTTAGGGTGTTCTTAAATGATAAACTTTGAGAAAATAACAGAAACTAATTAAATAGATTCTTAGTTGTAACAAAAACTATCCACATGAAATAATTTAGGAATTAATTTACATTTAAAACGTTGCACAAATAATAGTTTTTTTTCTTCATAATAGAGTATTAATTTTATAATAGAATTTTTATATTAGAGTATCCTAATAAAATAGAATCAATCGTATTTTTACAGCATTTTGTTTTAATTATTTGAATAAAAAAAATTATTATATAATATACAATAGAGAGTACACTTATTGTTGTCCGGTTATTTATGTGCTCAAATTCAACCATCAAAAGAAACTGAAGATGGCCTTTATTACATGCCATGAGCTGACTATATTCTTGTATAATAACCAATCTTACCTCTGCACTATCATTAGTGACATCAATGTTGCACCAATCTTCTAGTTGACTGATAACTTTTTTGACCCTTCCTATGCTTAGGTCTCTATCTAGAAAAATCTTATCTAGTTTTAGTTAGTCCAGTTTGGATTTTGAAAGAAATGTCTTGTGTTTATGGACACTAAGTCAGCTAAGTTACTAAGTCACTAAGTTCTCATTGGTGCAGTTGTTCACGTGTGCATATTAAGATGCACTTTATCTACATCTACCTTTATGTTTTTTTATATCTTTCTGGTATTCGCGGATGAAAAAAAAAAGGACAGATAAAACAACTAACAAAGATAAGGTCACTAACTACTCTGATAGATACCACATAAATAGAAAACTTCTTAAATGCTGTCTCTGCTTCTCTTGTCCTCATAATGCGAACAACTAAAGATATCTGATATTATTTCCTGGTGCAGATGTTCTGTCAAAGATATTGAGTAAACATTGAAAGTGAAATCATGAATTGCAGCAAATTTTTTTCTTCTTCTTGACAGTTAAAATTGGCCAAAAGATTTAAATCTTCTAAGAGGTAAAATTTCAGCCAGCCATCTTGCTTATTGCATTGCTCCATGAGTGCGAGATCTAATTCCTTACAAAAGAACATCACCAAGAAAAATTATAATAATAAAAATCATAGGCAGCTTTCAATAATGAGGACAGTTCTAATATTCTGAACACACCTTAAGTATAAATTGTTATAGATAGTAACATAAAAGTGTTTATTTTTATATACACATATAACAACATTCCTAATATCTATTAGTTCATTTTTGTAAAATCAACAATGGATAATTTTATCTTGATTTTTTTTCTTAAAAACAAACTTTTAACAGGAAAAACAAGTTATAATATTCAACAATTCAAAAAAAGAAAATAGATTTATAAAAATAGTTTTTTGGAAAACTCATTTCTTTATAACAAAAACAAAACAAAACAAAAATAAAAAACCTATAATAAAAAAGTATCCAATAATTTAAAAAAATTAACTTTAAGCTAACCAAATTGCCATAAAGCTAAATTTTCATAAACAAATAGAGGGCCTTGCAAAATTACAACTTGCTTTGCTTAGCAACAATAACTGACAAAACACCACCAACTTTAGAAACAAAAACTAACATCAAAGTTATAAGAATAGCAGTAAGACTCTTTATTCATTTCAACAAAACAATGAGTAGAGGCTCATCAAGATTTTTAAAATCTTAGGGACTCACTTATGACAACTATTTACACAGGGTTCCCACTATTAAAACTAAGGCTAAAATTAAGGATTTTAAGGAGATTTAAGGAGATATTTTCCTAATATTTAAGGAGATTTGGTCACGAACAACATTTTTTTGAAAGAAAAATTAAGGATAATTGAGGAGAAAACGATTACATTAAAAACATAATCTTATTTTTCTCAATAAATTTTAAATATAAACAGAAAATTATTATTACTATATATATTTATATAAATATTATTATATATATAATAACAAAAATAGGTTTGAAAACTATCAAAAATCTATATATTATCTTCTTTATTAACAAGTATAATTCATTCACTTTAAAAATTTTTTCTAAATAAATTAAAAAAAAAAAAAAAATAAGGAGAAATTAAGGAGAGCATTCAAATTTTAACTTTTTTAAAGGTTATTTAAGGACATTTAAGGAGGTTTTTACTTTTTAAGGATATTTAAGGTTTTTAAGGAGGTGTGGGAACCCTGTTACATATGTTAAACATTTGACAATTATTTACATATGTTAAACATTTAACTTGAACAATCTGTGAAAAAAAATGCTAAATTTAATCCAGAATTTAATGCCAAATTTAATTTTTTAAATGCCAACTTTAATCCAGACGCTATTTAAGACAAAAAATATAAAGGTAAATGCAATATAAAGTATTTTAAAAAAGCATATGTAAATGAAAATAAACAGAAATAGCAGACCTCTCACTCTCAAAATTTTGACACAAATTTTAAAAGCTTTCTATGACTTGGAAGATAAATTAGAATGAAATTTAGGACATTTTAGCATGATGAAAAACTAAACATGAGTTTCTATATTTAATTTTAGGTTTAGGAAATAATTACCCTTAGTAGATAATAGATAATAAACAAAATACAATTTAAACGTAGATAATAAACAAAATACAATTTAAACATTAATATGTAAAATAAAGACTAATAATAAAATATAACAAAACAATAAAGTCATGTTAAGTAATATAGATACTTGTCTTATTAAGTAACATTAGATGTTATTATTGATTAAGAGATATAGATACTATAAGAGATATAGATATTAGTCTAAAAACAAAAATCTATTTTGCTAAACAAAGTACCAAATGTAGAAATATTTTTAATTTTATTGAATTATATCTCCCAACAACCATTTTACTAACATTTAGTTGAAATTTTTTATTAAAAAAAAAACTAAAACATTTTATTCAATAAAGAAAACAAAAAACAAATAAATAGAAAAAGAGTAACTGTTTTTATTTTTTTTCCACTGCAACTAATTTCTTGTGCTATTTTTTTCAAAACAAACACTTCTTTAAATTTTTCTCTCAATTCATATTTTTATCAACTGAAACTTTTACTGTGTGGTGTAATAAAAAAATTCAAAATTAAGATACAAATCACATCAACAATACTGGTTTTATCAAAGAGGATTGTTTAACTTACTAGTTGAATGGATGCTTGTTTTTAATTTTGCAAAACTTGTTTTTTCTAATTCTTTTTTTTTTTTTTTTATGATTTTCTTTTTCCTCTTTAAACCTGCATTTTGTTTGTAGGTCAGTTTTATATTATGAGCAGCCTGCGAAATTCAGGTCAGCAATGCCAACACTAAAGTCAAACTATCTTTGCTTTATAACAATAAAATACGGCTTAGTATGGCACTATCATGCCAACCTGAAATCCTTCTAAATTCACAGGCTGCATGAGTGAACTAATTTAACTGATTGAATAACTTTGTTATAAGAATATTAAGTATGGAGCTAAAATTCAATATGGTATCTTTTACAAGCCTCAAAGCCTTAATAGTGTCTGGATCAAGTAAAACCATGTAATTAAATAATGTATTTGTCATAGATCATCTGGGTCATATTTTATCCAGATCCAGGTCATATTTTATCCAAATCCAGAAAATTGTTTGGGTAAAATATTCGGAAAAAATCTTGAATATATTTTCCCTTATATTCCTCTTAATTTTGATTTTTGCTGAGTTGTTTCCATTTTATTTTCAAACTTTTCATAATTTTTGTATGAGTGATGAGTAAAAAAAGCTTAAAAACAAATATATTACAAAAATTTATACCAAAACTTGTATGTATAGAAAACGTTTTGGATATCTGGAAAAACTAAAAATTGTAAAAATTATCCAGAATTATTAATCAAAATCCCTGATTTGTTCTTGTAAGTCTGTGGATACTATTTCTATCAGAAAAATGAAGAAATAACTTTAAAAAAGGATGAAACTTTAGGAAACCTATAGAAACAACTTTCATTCAAAATTTTAATCTCAGAGAAATTTATTATTTATGTATCAATATCAAAATTACAAAAAAAATACTAGAATATCAGCAAGATAAAGAGCTTTCTCCTAGTAAGAAGTTTGATTACTACCAATTAAAACTAATTTTTAAGAACATTGTAAAAGCACTCTTAAAGCAATTCTACTTAGGAAACTCTCTATTTGTTATGTACATTATCACAAACTTTTTCTTTTAATGAGAAAACTTCAAGACCGCTTCCAATAATTAACTCACTTTTTTAGTGAGATTTGAGACAGCCCCTAGGGACTAGAATGTTGAATAGTAGATTCATAAAACTTAACTGTGAAATATTTATAATTATTTTTTATCTCCAATAATTTTTTTAAAATAGGGAAAGATGCGACACTGAATGTGTTTATACTTTTTTTTTACAGAATTTTGACAAATCTGAGAATATTGGCTCAAAATATTTTTTATCTCTATGGACAAGGCAATAGCATTGTTGGACTAATACCTTAAACAAAGAATGATTTTGGCATTTAAATTCTCTTTTTATGAAGTGTAACAAATCTTAGAGGTTTTTCAAACATTATATCTTTATCTTCATTAAATTCTGATCATCCTTCTCTTTCTTTAAAACTTGATGTATAAAGTTTGTTAATTGCATGGTTTCTTATCCAGCTCCACTTCCATCAACTGAAAACATTTTTGGGCATAACTTGCAGAATAATGATCACTAGGACATTAAGACTCTGCATCCCTGGATGTGAGAGCCATACATTAAAACAATAACTATTATCAAACAGTTGCAACATTTAGAGTTTGAAGAGTAAATTTTATGATAAAACATCAAAATTTTTAAAATTTGGAATTATTGAGATTTTGGAACAGTCAACTCAAAATAGCACAAAAGAAATGTTGTTTCTTTTTAAAACTTTTGAAAAATATAAAACCAATTATTAAAGACAAAAAACAATCATTAAAAAAGATATTTAAAAAATAGACCTTTTAAAAATACTCAATTCAAACAAACACAACATTCTATTAAATTAATTCAAATCAAAATTAATCTAATTATTGTACATCTTTTTTAATTTTTAATTTAATAGAAGGAAAAAAGCTTTTATTGTTTATAATTAAAAAAAAAACTTTATTTAAACTAAACACAAAACAAAAATTGAAAACTACAACAAAAAAACGTATAACACAACAGAGAAAAACATGGACTGAATTGTGTACACATTTGAAAAGATAAAAAATTAACAAACCTCTTAAAGCTTTAAACTGGACTGGTGTAATATCCTCATAACCTTTAGGGGGAACATCCCAGAGTGTATTCCTAAGAAAATAAGTATAATTAAGCTTAGTGATCTATGTTTGTGATATTCAAATTTTTTTTTTTTTTAATTTAAAGTTGTAATTGTCTTAAAAATTATTGTTTTCATTTATTCACTTTTTGAACAAACTATTGTTAGATTTAAAGTGAACTACTTTTAGTTTAAGTCTAAAGTCACAGAATTCTAAAAAATTGCTATTACTTTGTATAACTGTAAAGCAAGAAGCTTTTTTAGTTACATTATTTGCATTATTTTTTTTGAAAAATAAATATAAGTTCACATTTAAAAAAAATTTTCTTTTAAGAATCACCTTTAGTTTCTTTTAATTAAATATTTATATATTAAATATTTTATTTTAGAACTTATTAACACAGAAGTCAAATATTCGACTTAAACAGGCATATATCACAATATGTATTTTATTTCACAGAAATGCATTACTTAGTTAATTTTGTCCATTAAAGTGTAAAAAAACGTTTTTAATTTGTAATAACCATGGGTGAAATTTCACCTTGTTTGGTTGGCATTTAAAAAAAACTTTTAGTGTATTGTGAATTTTATCTGCAACTATAGTGTTGCTAATCTTTCATTAAAGATGACTGGGATTTCCTCAGAAAAGTCCCAGAGAGTTTAAATCAGAAAGTCGTATAATGACATGTGACATTGTTAACCTTTACACAAGTATTACGCATCATTTTGGTTTAGCCCTAAAGTCCCCTAACTAAATTAAATGATTCAATTAGTTTCACAATCATTTTTGGCAATGAGTTTTCTAAAAATGATAACACCTACAGCCGGCTTGGTCAAAATGTAGGTGCAATCGCACTCGATAACTAACCATGGAAATAATATTTAGTTGCAAAAAACCGGCCAGATTTTTTAGTCGTTTTAAGAACATTCAAGTTTACATATGTTTCCTTGTTTGTCTGCAAAATAATAAGTTCATTTTGTCGTAAATTTTAAAATATTTTGTCTTATGGACTTACATGGAAACATACATAAACTTGAATGTTCTCAAACATTCTCAAACGTTAAGGTCTGGTCAGGTTTTCCTGCTACTGGTAACATGTAACCCAGTACAACCTGCTCCATGTCCTGCTGCCTTGTAGGATACGCTTTTTTAGGCAAAGGCTAGGAGAAGTTAACTCCGAATTAAAACACCCCCTGCCTTGGGGCTCTTGGTTGAGTAAAGGCTAGAGATGGTGTCTCGATAAAAATACTCATCTTGGGCAGATGTTACATGCATCCGGCTGCTGTCTTGTAGAAGGCCTCCTAGGCAAAGACTTAAGGGGTAAACAGATTCTATCTGTTGACCAGCCTCGCACCCCTTCCTCATCTATTAGGCTGGCGCAGATGTATTTTTAATACATTGTTTCCAGTTTAGGATGTTGAACGCTGGATCTTCTTGACTCAATGCGTGAGTATTGCTTGTGTCTCTATTTTTATGACTGGGCAACTCATTCTATTATCTCCTAATGAGGGTACAGCTCTAAAACTCAGTTTTATGGTTCTGAGGCCGGCTGGTAGTCAGGTTTCCCGAACTCTGTGGTAGCTCTCAGAGAGGCTGATTCCATCAACAGCCGAAAAATATCAGAGTACTAACAGTGCCATGTTGCGCATGGATGGTGTCCCTGTTTGTACTTTTGGTGTGCATTGCAGAGGCCACATTTGGAGCCCTTTGTTACGGCTTAGGGTTTATTAATAGTAATGAGGCTATAGCTTAGTTGTTAAATAGTGTACTGAGTACTATCTATACTTGAGTCAAGTTCTTTATAAATTTAAAATGACTAAAGTACCTAAAACTAAAAAACACAAAAGACCATTGTCATCACCAAGTTCTCTAAACCTATCATTTACTAATATTCGTGGTCTTCGAAGTAACTTTTCTTCTGTTGAGTCTTATCTCTTGCAAAGTTTACCAGACCTACTTGCTCTTTGTGAGACTAATTTGAGTTCGGCTGTCCCATCTTGTGATCTTAGTGTTGATGGTTATATTCCTTTAATTCGTAGAGACTCCAATAATCACATGCTTGGCCTGGGCATCTACATTCGTAAGAACTCACCCATTTGTCGTGAAACTAGGTTTGAATCTACAGACTATTCATTTATGTGCTTTCGTTAAGCACAACTTCACTCTATCGCCTTTCTCTTTGTTCTATATCGCTCTCCTTCATCCCAAGATTGCACTATTCTTGATGTTATTTCTGATCAAATTGACCCAGCCCTCTCTCTTTATCCATCGGCCAATATCGTCGTTGTTGGTGACTTTAATGCCCATCACACCAATTGGCTTGGCTCTAGTGTCAGTGACTCTGCTGGCGTTAAGGCCCTCAACTTTTGCCTTTCTCAATCTCTAACTCAAATAGTCAACTTTCCAACTCGTTTTCCAGACAACCCTAATCATTTACCTTCTCTACTCGACTTATGTCTTGTTTTGGATCCTAGTCAGTGCTCAATTTCTCCACATTCACCCTTAGGTACTTCTGATCACGGTTTGATCTCTCTAAAACTATTATCAAATTCTTCTACTTCATCAGAATCCCCCTATCATCGTACCACATTCAACTACCTTAAAGCTGACTGGGACTCTTTCCGTGATTTTCTTCGTGATGGCCCTTGGGTAGAAATCTTTCGTCTTCCTGCTGACAAATGTGCTTCTTACATAACTTTGTGGATTCAGGCTGGAATGAAATCTTTTATTCCCTCTCGACGATTCCAGGTCAAGCCTCACTCTTCTCCTTGGTTTTCCTCACATTGCGCTGCAGCAATTTCTAATCGAAACCGTTACTTCCATATCTATCAGCAAAACAATTCTCCAGAAAACAGACATCTGTTCACTATCGCCAGAAACCATTGTAAAAAGGTTTTGTCTGACGCCAAAGCTCGCTATTCTCAGGTCATAAAATCTCGTATCTCATCACAAAAATTAGGCTCTCGAGACTTCTGGAGAATCTTTAACAGTATCAATAATAAGAGCAAATTTGTTATTCCTTCTCTCTTGTATGGTTCAGACTTTGTCACCTCACCTAAAGACAAAGCTGAATTGTTTGCAAGAACTTTTCATCAATATCATCTCTTGATTCCACTAATTGCGTTTTACCGTGCATTAGATAGAGGTGGAGAGGTTAAGGCTATCGCACTTGACATTTCTAAAGCTTTTGATAAAGTTTGGCATGATGGTCTTCTCCATAAGCTTTCTTCTTATGGTGTTGCTGGTAACGTCTTTAAGATTATTGAGTCCTTTCTTTCCAATCGTAGTATAAAAGTTGTCCTCGATGGACAACACTCTTCTTCACATCTTGTAACTTCAGGGGTTCCTCAAGATTCAGTCCTCGGCCCTATACTCTTTTTAATTTACATTAACGATCTTCCAGATATTCTCACATCTAAGGTAGCATTATTCGCTGACGACACTACCATTTACTCTTGTCATGATAAGAAGCCTACACTCTCTGATTGCTTGGAGGGGGTATCTGAGCTTGAAAAGGATCTCACTTCTGCTACAGCATGGGGCTCACAGTGGCTGGTGAACTTTAATTCAGATAAAACTCAATTTTATTCGGCCAATCGTTATCGTAATAATTTAGATCTTCCTATATTTATGAATGGTAATGTACTAGATGAGTCATCTACCATTCATCTTCTAGGATTAACTCTTACTTCTGATCTTTCTTTTAAACCGTATATCAAATCCATTGCAAAATTAGCATCCGCTAAGGTTGCATCTCTTTATCGAGCTCGACACTTTCTTACTCCAGATTCTATTCTCTATCTCTATAAATCTCAAATCCGTCCCTGTATGGAATACTGTTGCCACATCTGGGGCGGATCTTCTAATGATGCTCTTTCTCTTTTAGACAAGGTGCAAAAACGAATTGTAAACATAGTTGGACCTGCTCTGGCAGCCAATCTCCAACCTTTGTCACATCGTCGTAATGTTGCTTCTCTTTCTCTTTTCTACAAATACTACAATGGGCACTGCTCTAAAGAGCTAGCGTCCCTTGTGCCATCTACTAAAATTCATTCTCGTGTTACTCGCCATTCAATTAAGTCTCATCCTTTTTCTGTGACTGTTCCTAAGTGCTTCAAAAACTCTTATTCTTCTAGTTTTTTTCCTCGAACATCAGTTCTTTGGAATTCGCTTCCTTCATCTTGCTTTCCTGATTCATATAATTTGCAATCTTTTAAGTCATCAGTCAATTGTTATCTTGCTCTACAGATTTAGTCTTTTCTCTTCCAGTAACTTCCAACTCTTATAGTGGTTGCTTGCAGCCTTGTTGGAAGTGAAGATGTTAAAGTATAGTAAGTAAGTACATCTTAGTGCGGAAAAATAAAAAATATTCGCAAACACAAAAAACCCGCCAAATCTACGAACAACTATTTCTATTGGTTCAAAAAATACTAACCGAAATTTCTAGAGTATTCAAAAAATACAAACGGAATGTCCTGAGTATTCTGTTGAAATATTTTTAAAAATTGTATCATTTGAATTTTTTTACGTTTTCATTGAGATTTCTAGCATAAACTATTTTAGGAATATACTATCAAACGAACTATTATCTAATTCTTAGAGCCACATCTACAAAGCTATAAATGTTTTAAACTAACATTATTTGTTTACAATAATAAATATTTTAAATTTATATTTTTTAACTTGTCAACGTTTTGTAAATATATTATAGATTTTATTAGTATATTCTTATTTTTTATATATAAGGGATGTATTTTTATGTATGTAATGTTATTTTATGTATGTAATGCATTTTTATGTATGTAATGTATTTTTATCTATGTAATTTTATGTATGTGTATTTTATTCAAATGTAATCTTTTGATGCAATTTGTGCGATTGATTTTGTAAACAAAAATACTTTCAATAATAACTGCGTTTTCAATGAAATTATTAATAATCGCCAAAGTTAATACAAATAATTTTAACCACTAATCCATTTTCCTAAGTGTACCCGATAACTGATTCTTTCCCCCAAGAAAGAAAAGTTTT